ATGTCGTTTGTCACTTCAGCTGTGAGGCATAGTTTATTACTTTATTTGTATTTCCGGACAAGAATTTAATATACCTCGTAATTAACTTTTACCTCACAACTATTCAATTAACATTGAGTGTTTTACACATACTCATAGGTATGTGTTACTGCTATGGCACAGGCTCTCAGAAGCAACTGCTGAATTCCTGAAGTTGCACCCTGAATTAAGTCCAAATTAATTGAATTATCAGCGAAATGCTCGTGACTTTTTACGACGTCGGGGATATGTTTGTACCTGCATTAATTTCAGTGCGCGACAATTAATAAGATTAATTAATCATGTTCATTTAATTTAATAAGATTAATTTAATATATTTAATAAGATTAATTTAATAAGATTAATTTCAGTGCGCGACAATTTCTACTCAATGAAGTTCCGGCAGCTTGTCATGAAACAATTAAAATGAATCAGCCTTATCATCCATCCAGTTTTGGGTGAATGATGGAGGCAAATAGCTCCAGTGATTTGGTTGAAATTACATAAATCTCCTATGAAGAAGCTATTAAAATCCTATGTGGGTGCTGCACTTCTCCAACTAGCATCTCCAATGGGAAAAAACAGATTGTAAAATAAATAACTTGAGTAGAATAAATAACTTCTGTCTAACTATGCCAATATTGGTAAAGTTAGGCATGAGTTATTTATTCTGCAATGTTTATGCAATATTCGAAACATCGTATTATATTTTATGTCTCTCAGCGCCAACAATATTATGTCCCAGTTCGTTTCAATGGAAGAACAAACAATAAATTTTGTAATAAAAAGCCAGCTCTTGTTTTCAATTAAACTTAACCGAATGAACATTGCCTGCACCACGTTTAGGACACGACAGCTTTCAAGTTACTTACGTGGTCGATGGCGGAGTACAGAAGTTGACTGCTCACTAAGGGTTCACCAGCTATACTATGAGATGCATGGATAACTGCTGAAATTTGACCGCTTTTATATATGTAGCATTTATCTGATCAAACCTCCAGGCTCAATAAACCAAAGATATGAGGTTTTACGACAGCGGATGAAAAATTTTATAAAGTGCGTGCAGCTTGCGCAGTGTATACAAGAAATCGAAAGAATTAAAAATCTTATTAATAATATTATTATTATTAATAATAATGTCTGAATCAACGTTGAATCAACTACGCATTACGACATTGAGATCGGGGTGAATGGAGGTTTAGAATGAAAATTGAAGCAACATCTTTCATGAAACGTCGTACTGTCGTTACAATGCAACGTTGAATCAATGTTGCTACTACGGCGTTGCTGCAACATCGAATTCTATGGTTGAATCGATGTTGAAACAACTACGCATTACGACATTGAGCTCGGGGTGAAAAGAGGTTAATAATGAAAATTGAAGCAACGTCTCTCATGAATCGTTATACTGACGTTACAATGCAACGTTGAATCAATGTTCCTACTCCAACATTGCTGCTGCAACGTCAAATTCTCTGGTTGAATCAACGTTGGAGAACCAACCTGTTTTCTAATAGAAACGCTATGCACTATCAACCATCAATGATGCAATTACATGCATTATTCTCTTTGTCTTCTAAATTCTTGAGAAAATGATACTGGAAAATTTGATTTAAATGAAGCCGTACATGCATATTCTATAGTAATAACAGTGTGAAGCTAATATGTATTTGAAGACATAACACCCAATGACCTGAATAGTGAAAGCTAAGCGTTGAAATAAGATTATTGCACGTTAATAAGTCAAACAGCGAAGTGTTAGAAGGAGGTTACAGCCAAAGAGGGAACGAAATGTTGAGCCGTATTATTCGACAAGGAAAACAGCAGTGGGGGTAGACTTCGATGGTTCGAAGGAAGCTCGCTTTGTAGCGAATGTGAGCAATCAGCGTAGTAGAGCAATCAGCGTAGTAGAGCAATCAGCGCAGTAGAGCAATCAGCGTAGTAGAGCAATCAGCGTAGTAGAGCAATCAGCGCAGTAGAGCAATCAGCGTAGTAGAACAATCATCGCAGTAGAGCAATCAGCGCAGTAGAGCAATCAGCGTAGTAGAGCAATAAGCGCCGTAGAGCAATCAGCGTAGTAGAGCAATCAGCGTAGTAGAGCAATCAGCGNTAGAAGAGCAATCAGCGTAGTAGAGCTATGAGCGTAGTAAAGCAATCAGCGTAGTAGAGCTATGAGCGTAGTAGTAGCAATCAGCGTAGTAGAGCAATGAGCGTAGTAGTAGCAATCAGCGTAGTAGAGCTATGAGCGTAGTAGTAGCAATCACTTGGTAGTACTCTACACTTCCAAACAACGCGTAGTACACCGGGTAGTACTCCTGGGTATCATACTTGACAAATATTTCCGGGTTGGCGGTATCGTCAACCGTGGTGTCGATGGGGAGGTTGGATCTGCAAAAATAAAAATCTCTGTACAAAATGCAACACGATGAATAATAATTTGTAGATAGTATTGATTTCATGATTTATTACATGAAAAATAAGTTTCTTGAGTAATTACTGGCAAAATTTTATTGTTTACTCGCTACAATACACTACAATTTTTATAATCGCATAAATAGGATTTAGTGGTATGCAGTTTATACTCGGCATATTCTTCGTACTGAAGTGATGTATGATGTTATGGGTACCCATCAGTTGAGTACATATAGCGCACCATCACCACACACATGATTTGCAGTGCAACTTCAACCAGCATAGACAATACCAATAATGTAAATAAAATTAATTTGTTAGGAACAATTTAGGACTGAGATATAGCATGCCTATAGGGGTTGAGGTATAAGAAATATAAGGTTGAGATATAGGATATTTAGGATAACGCTATACATACTATGCAGTACCGTCTTTAGGAGGCCTGATGGTATCTGAGTTGCCGGTGGTGGTGAGTCCAACGAGAAAACTGCAAATGAAAATTGCATCGCCATATTTACGTGAGTAACTTGCTCTGCAGAGATGAAAATAAGTTACGATTTATTAACGAAGTGTCAGTTTACGCGGCATATCAAGAAAAATAACGAATGATCAATAATTAGAAAAATTAATGGGTCATATTGTTTAAATGTAACAATTTCTGATGGTGGTCATGATACAACCTTTTGCTGGGCCAAAATTGATATTGATGACCCACACAAGAGTAGAAGTGTATCGAAATTTGGACAAAGTTCCGTATATTTTTCTGAGTACGTGTGTGTTTGGTCGCTGGCATGCAGTTCTGTACAAGCTTGGTGATGACTATAAAACTTACATGCTATAAACGATTCATATTTACAAAGAAAATTTTGATAAGTCATTTCTCAACTAATGAAATCATGATAAATGTATGATAAATGCGAAATGCATTCGAACCGTTTAGACTCCTTTATCTTAGCATAAATTATTTAATTTTGAATCATACTGCTGGGGTCGCCCAGGTCCGGCCAGCCGTACTTATAGTACTTTAACGTGGACACCAACAAAGGCTTGCAATGAAAGACACTTCAGAAAACACTCTCTTGATTATGTAGTTCCATAACTCTCCTAAAGAAAAATAACAAAGAATAAGTAACCTTAAGTAACAAATAAATGAACAAAAGACAAAGTATGAACAAACCTTCTCATGAATAAACTAATCTAACTTTACAGAATATAACAGAATAAAGAACATCTCGGAATAATCCGCTAAATGTAAAACACAGGAACAAACAAATAACCAAGTTAAAACACAACTTGATACTATGGGTTCAAATGCGGGACTGCCTAGGACATACTAAAGCCTGCAAATCTAACTTCCGCATTTCTAAACTAAAACTAAAATTCCAAAAATACAAAATCATGAAAATACTAAATTAAAATTCCCTAACATTACAGCAACCTGCAAAGACTCTTTTGATAAATTAAGTTAATAAATCACGCTATATACACGACAGGTATTTTCATTATAGGCAGTTTGTGATTAAGGGGATTCGGCAATGATATTCATTTGAAATTTCCAAATTAATTCGGCTTCATTTGCAGTTAGTGGTTCCAATATAATATACAACGAGCATTGTTGAATATTGCAGGGTGAGGGCGTTTCCAATTTTCCTAGGTCAAACAATATTTATGGGAACTTTTGGGACCCCAAACCGAAACTTTCAACATTTAAGTCTGTGTACATAGCCTCACATATAGTAGTTTGACGTCTTTGTAGGTTAACGTTGACCAGCACAAAAGAATGGAAAACGCCGAGTGACATCAAGAATCGCAGTGGTGAAAAGATGAATAGTAATAGCTGGTAGATACAATTCCAAGATAGCTAATGATGTTAAAAATAAAAAAAGTGTGGCTACATATGGCTGAAAGCAACTTACTTGTCCGAGAAATAAGCTCCTCGTCCGTAGCAATGTGCTTTGCCGGACGATCCAAGCAGTCGCCAGTCGATGTTTTTTTCGGCTATGACGTTGACATTTTTTGAGTCTGTGCCATGGAAGAGACATTGTTCCCTGTACTGAACACTCGGATATTGAATCTGAACTTTCTTGTTTTGAAAAGCATTTGGTAGGTAAGGGTTGTTGATTTTAGAGATGCGTATGGGGTTTCCGTTTGGGTAGGTGGGTTTGAGAAGAGCTAGAACTTTGGCGTGCTTAGCTTGGTATCGTGAAATTGGCACAATGAAACACTCTTGTACCCTAGGGACTTGAGGAAGTTCTTCTTCGAGAAGCATTTTCAAGAAAGAATCTGTAATGCCCATTATTGCAAGAGTTATCCACATGAGTGGAAGAGTCATCCACAACTCGTCGTACGTCCCATGGCGACTTGGTTTCTCAGGTTGGTCTGTTTCATCGTGTTGAAATTAACTGTGGACTGATGAGTGGGGCTCTGGATTCGCATTATCGAATTTGAATTTTTAGCAAACTCTCGCTCTATAGCTACTGAAGAGGTAGACACTCTACAAGCAGGATCATTACCGGAGCTGACTTCTCCATAGTCAATCCACTTGCCATGTTCATCTTTAAACTGCCACTTGTAGCCCATTTCAGAACAGGTGCAAACGTCAATGGGGACAGAAACTGGAGTGTATAAACTCTCGATGTATGGAAGAAGAGGTCGTTTCAGCTCGGGAGGTCGTTGTTGTGTTTGTCGTTATTAAATAGTTTATTAACGCAATGGCTGACTGATGATCGGCTGTAAAAGAGAAGGAGACAACGGATTTACTAAATCATTATGTACATGACACATTAAAAATGAAAATGCGCGTGGGCCTAAAGTTTACGACTAGGTTTTTGTATAATACTCATGTTACCTCGCATTACAATTACATTAACATAAAAAATTCGTTAATCATAAAATAGAAGTTTGTACTGCGAGTAAGAATGTGGGTGAAGTAAGTGAGCTAATGTAACAAGTTCTTATCATGTTGTAGACTCGTTCAGTACTTGTGAAAACCTGAATGCACGTTTTCGCCACATGCACAACTGAAAGGGTGATCTCGATTAGTGCATGCTGACAGTGTTCTCGGCAAATGATATTACTTCAATTGCAAGTGAAGCATCAGGTAAGCTATGTGGTTGTATTAGTTTCAGTATGCTTATGAATGTATAAGGAGCATATTTGTTTGAATGGATCTTAACAAAGATAGATGGAAGAATGGCAATAAGTTAAATGTTTGTGCCGGTTTATTCAGTTCCTCCGTACCAAGCGAGATTTAGAAGACGGTTATTAGAGGGAAAATTCTCATTAGTACTTCCACCGTCGAGATTTTGAACACGATATATTATTTTTTAATATTTCTAATCTTGAATATCATTATGTTTTTTAATTATGCCATTATGTTTTTGCGCTACACAGTCGTGCTCCTGAAAAAATTTGGAGCTTTAATTAAGCAAGACCCAATAGCCAATTTTTATGTTCAAACAAGCGACAACGAGGTGGCCAGACAACTCATACGTGACATTTAATTTTAATCACTGTAGCAATTCATTTTTGGGACGTCATAATTTTAACGATTAATAATAGAATAGAATAGAAGTGTCGGCGTTGAAGAAATAGGCCCAAGGCCTGTTGCCGATTCTTGAACTTTTCGTGACATGATTCACAAGGGATCCGGCCTTTGGAACTCGATATTTCCATAACTGACGATTGATTGAGATAGCTGCTGGACTTATTGCCTGGTCCGTAATTTGCTAGGCATTTTAAGCCTGAATATATGCTCCTGCATAGCTTCGTCTAGTCTGTTCATGAAAGCGTTCATACTCGGAGCGTCAACGATGCTATCAGGGAGGCTGTTCCATTTGTCGGTGACACGAAGCGAGAAGAAATGTTGTCGCATGGATGTGTTACAACGCAGTTTTTTTAGTTTATGGTGGCCCCTGGTGTTGGTGGCCCCTATTATGTATGGCACCTGGTTTGCTTCTTGTTTCAAATTCTAGTAATCCTTCTGATCGAGACCTTGATAAGCCATGAGTATACTTGTACGTATGCTTCAATGAGTTCCCCACGCAGACGTCGATAACTGAGGCTTGGAAGCTTCATAATCTTTTATCTTTCCTCATAGGACTTGCTTTCAAACCCGGAATTATCCTTGTTGCACGTCTGTGAACATTCTCTATTAAATTTTTGTCTTTTTCAAGTTTCGGTGACCACACGACGTTTCCAAACTCTAGGTTCGGGCGCACGACAGCAACAAACAACTGCTTCATCGCTTCTGCATCTAGGAACTCGAAAGAGCGTCTGATCAGTCCAAGTCGTTTATTGG